GTACCTTCTATCTGCCTTAGTTTCTACAACTGAAAAATGAGGATAATAATAACACCTATTTCCCAGGGTAGTTGTGAGGATAAAATAAAATGATAATTGTTAAGCACTTTGCAAACCTCAAAGCACTTTACCTCTCTTCAGGCTGTCCTGGTGACTCATCTCCATAGGACTCTCTCTACCTATACCATAAAAACCTCTTCATCCTGTAAACTGTACTTACTCACATTGGAATACCCTCAGCCCCTGAAGCCTCTCTCTCTTATTGGCTGGTTCCTTCTAGGACCTCAGGTTTAAGAAGGGGTCCAGGACAACCAGGGGTTAATTTCTCTCCAGGATGCACTGCTGACTCATCTTCACAGGACTTTCTCTACTAAGTCTCAGTGCTGGGTACCTTCATCCTCACCATCCCCTACTCCCAATTGTTAGCTCTCTTTTATGTGTTGTTTTTCCCATTAGAATGTAAATTCCTTGAGGTCAGGGGCTGTCTCTTTCTGTTTGTATTTGTGTTTCCAGGGCTAAGCATAGTGAGTGCCCAGCACACAGCACTCAATACATGCTTGTTGACTGACTTGTGTGGTAGGTTTGTGGGTGCTTTTGTTAATTTGTGTTAATAAGTTTAACGCCTAACAGTGCTTGGCACACAGTAGGTGCTTGGTACATGCTCATTGATTGTTTTTGGCAACATTGTTATAGCTCTGTTGTGTAACTTACAGTTTTGTTTCTGTAAAATTACTTTGCCAGAAGCATTTAATGAGCACCTACCATGTAGGTTTAAAGAAGTGTAATAAGTACTATTTAATACGGCTTTAAAAAACAGTATATGTAGTTCTTGACCTGTCAAAGCTTATACTTTAGTTAGGAAACGAACTATATACACCTGAAGTAACCTGAGATCAGTTACAAAGCATGTCAATATCCTATTAAGTATTAAACAGTGAAAGGATTTTGTCAGTGTGGCTACTGCACCCACAAACACATGTCATAACCTCTCTACAGATTGATAGTATATGAGAATTGTGATGGTTGGAAAATCCATCACCTTGTGGCCAACCTGATGAAGAGGCTTTCTGAACTTAGCTAAGCTGGTCTTTAGACATCAGACATATTGTCCATCAGTGGGCTTGAAGCCAACTGCTTGAATCCCCTTAGTGGGCTGGTATTTGAAAGCCCTCCAGGATCAAAGTAAAGTTGGAATTAACAAGGAAGACTTTCTTGCCTAGGCAATAATTGATTTGTCAATAACCTCCTCCACCTCCCCACACACATTTATACCCCACCTTGACATGACTACAAATTACGTTATAGAAATACTTTATGGTTTCATATACAATCTTCTTCTTCTATTCCACATTGTATATGAAAATATTTGCATACGTGTGTGTAGTTTAGAATTTTTAAAATGGAAAAAAGTGAATATGCACTAGAGAAATAGAATAGACTGCCTTGGAGCCCCAGCTTGTGTCTTGTGTATCATGATGGGCATAAAATCAAAAATTTCCCTGATACTGAGTCCAGATGACACAAGACACAACACCACGATGGTGGAATGGAAACACCGCTGCATTGAGTCAAAGGATCTAGGTTCAAATTTAGTTGCTAATATTTATTACCTATGTGGTATTCAGCAAATCACAACCTCTCTGTCCCTGAGTTTTTCCATCTATAAACTGAGGACACTGATGAAATGATTTCAAAGGTAGGCAGGTCTTTTCCAACCCAAAATCAGCAATCCTATGAAGCAAATGGAAACCAAAAGGAGAACAGATCACCTACTAGTTATTAAGTTATAATCTTTGAGGGACAGAAGTTATGTTAGTGGCTGAATAATTTTTATATTCCTGTTTACCCTACTAGTATAATTCCTTGAATATGATAGGTGATTAAGTTACTAAAGGGAGCTTTGTGTGTAGTTTAAAAAAAAGTTTTATTGATGTGTTTTGTTTATACATTACAAACATTTACAGATTACTCCCACTCTTGTTACAAAAGAACTCTTGTAACAAAACAAATAAAACCAACTATATAGTCAACTTATTTGAAAGTGCATACAACATTCCACATATATAGCACACTCTCCCAACCTCTTTTTTAAAAAATTGTTTTATTAATTAACAGAAATCTATTTTCTTTCCATTTCCTACCCCACTGGGAAGAAAAAAGAAAAGAAAAATTCCTTGTAATAAATATTCACAGTCAAACAAAACAGATTCCTTCTTTGGGTGCATACATATGTATGTACGTATATATATATATATATATATGTGCACATTCCATAGAAATTGATGTTTTTGTCCTTATTTTCAAAGAGGATCAGTGGAGTGATGTTTTGACTTGTGAATGAATTGTATTTAAGTGAGGCAGAGCTGGACAAAGTTGTTAGCCTCACTCACCCTTCTAATCATTGAAGTCCAATGTCAATGCAAAAGTCAAGATGACTAGCAATGGCCTAAGATGGTGGATGACCTTGGCATCTTCAATGTCTGCCCAAGCTCTAAGTGCTCCATAGCACCTGCTTCAGCCACCTTCATGGCCATTAGAATAAATGCTCTCATTAACCCATTCCACCAGGGGAAGTGTTCACATGCTTGGGGTAGACTTCCCCTAACTTATTCACTGGTTTGAGGCCTGTTGGTTATGCTCAATCTGGTTTAGCACACCTACTGAGATGGTTTACTGGGGTGTGGTTACTACACATACTGCAGCTTTTTGGAGCCACAAGTGAGAAATGGATGGAAGGTGGACACCAAAAATGGATGAACAAGCCTGAAAAGAGCTCAGCAAGCCCTCTCATCGGAGGTGCTAGTCCTCCCTGAACACCCTATACTTCATAGACATATAAATATATAATATATATGTTTCATTGACTATGTAAATCTATCTATATAATGTGTCTCTTACAATGTATCGCCTTAATTATTTTCTGTGAATGGTCTGTGGCCTTGGAATTTAATTATTGTAGATGTTGCATCCATTTTTTGTATGTGTAGAAATTACTTGCCCCCTATATCCTGAGAGAGAACTCTTCTTTTATGTAGCTTATGCCAACATATGTGGAAAGACAAATAGATTCTATTCAAATCAGAATTTCTTCTCAAGGAAGCAGTCATTTAGGGTTTTTTTTTTTGCAAATGGATTCTTTGTTTTCTGACTTTTTTTTAAAACATGGGATGTGAGAAACTCTCTTGCTTCTGACCTTATTTTCCCACATTAGTCAGCTTTGGCTGCTAACCCACTGCCTTCAAACTTAAGCCCACCTTTACTTGAAGATAAACTCTAGCCTTGGGCAGAAAGTGTACAGGATTCTTTGACTCCCAAAGGTTTCACTTCAGCATCAAGCTCTGTCCTTCTACTGGTACTCTTAACTGTCCCATAGGCTCTTTGTCCAGATTCTGACCTCGTATTGCCCAGTTTCCTATCCTGAATTCCTGATCCCTGGTGATGTGTCTTCCATAATCTGGACCTTGCCAGCACCAATCTGCTTTCCTGTTTCTCCCTACCTTACTTGACCATCTTGGACTTGAACATTTATTTGTCTACCTACCAGAGCCTTCCTGCTCTTCTAGGTGTCTGCTTTTAGCTTTCCCTAGTCAGCTTTGTCCCTTTGTGACCCAAACACTGGAATGAAATGGGAAGAATAATAGCTCCTAATTTGTAGGAATGGTATCAGAGTAAATATCACATACTTAAAACTCCCATCATGAAAGTTATAATATGTTGGAACTTTTATGATTATAACAAACTCCCTTAAAAGAGAGTAAGAATCTTGTCATAAAAATATACTTCATAAAATATACTGAAAAAAAGATTATAAGTGCCTATCATTTTGAGTCTAACTGCTAGAGTTTCCCTTGACAAGGCAGTGGTTACCCTTTACCAGTTTTTCTGCTTTAAACCAAATTTATTAGTGAAAGATGAGGAACTGGTGTATCTCATTTAAGCATTTAAAACTGGCATTTTCTATTCTTTGTCTTCATACTGTGCTCAACAGTCAACTATTAGAGCAAATTATAAGTAAAGAGAGATTTAAAGAGAAAAGTACAGCCCAATGAGAAGAGTATGAATCAAGTTTGCCAATGTGGGTGTATAACATTAGCCAAGCAACGTGAATCAACTTGCTGAGGGTTTTCCTCTTTGGAAAACCACCTCTAAATATTCTGAGCCTCTGGTTGCATTTCATCTTCAGACATGAGAAAAGGGAAAATGGGCACAAAGAGGTGGTCCATCCAAAAGAAATGTTCTTACCCTTTTATACCCTTGGTCTAGACTGTGAATTTGGAATCCTCAAAGCAAAAATGAATGAATTAATGAATAAAAAAATGTTCATTAAATGCTTTCTGTGTGCCAAGCACTGTTTATATCATCATTCAATTAGGTCTTGCTTTTTCTAAATCTTACTATATGCATGATGGTTATACTTTGGAGCCAAAAAAAGTAAAAAGCAAAGTGGATTTATATATCTTATTGTAATAAAAATGTAAGATTAAAGTGAGACTTTTTTCATTTGCTTTATTAGCTTAAAATAATTTAAACAAATTTCATGGAAATAAGTCTCATTAAAGGGAGCAAATTTTCTATTTTGTTCTTTGTGCTGCCTGCTTAGCTTGTATTTCAACCAATGATAATGGTAGTGTTTTTCAATAAGTTGTGATTCCTCTGAACACTCCCAGAAGTATACACAGTGCTATATAGTTGTCAAACCAGCTCATACAATGTAATTGTAGATTGTATTTCAAGTTTCTTTCTCTCTTTTTTTTGCCTTTTATTGCAACCAACCCATCCTGTTCAGCTGCTTACTAATGATTGTGTGTACAAAAATGCTCCGAAGTCTGGGGTATTTAGTACACTTTAAAATACGGGGTCTGAACTTCAGTTTTCTCTTTTCAAATTGGTAAAACAGGAAGCAATTATCTGTGAGAATTCAAAACTTCACCCAGTCACTTTTCATCACGTCACTAATTGCTCTCAGTCAGAAATCTTGACTTGCAACTTTAGAGGGTGCGTCCCCAAAGAATTTCAAAGCTCAGAGATGAGGTGTGTTGATCACTATTGAGAATGAAGCTGGCATGAATGCTGGAAATCCATGTCTCTGATGGCTTTTTGCTAGTGAGGTGCATCATTGTGGACTGAATTTTCAGAAAGGTAGGAGCCTCTTTTATATGTTGTCAGCTAAGCAACAATAGTGGGAGAACTTTTAAACCTCACTAGGCCTGACTATCTTTTGTCTGAGAGTAATGACTGAAATTTTAATATTTTCACAAAAACTCCTTAGTCCAGTGTTGGGATAGAGTTGGAAAGGAAGAATTGAATATGAAGATATGTTCATCACTAATTTTACATTGAAAGAATTATAGTACCTTCTAACAAGGTTGAGTCAAAGTGTTTGCTCCTAAACTTCTTCCCCCCCCCTCCTTATGTCTTGGGGCCCAAAACTGATCCTTTAAAACATCTAGAAGCTTTGGTGTGAATAATGACATAATATTGAACACACTATTCACAAGAGACTCATTTATTTATTGTCAAGTAATGTAAAAAAGGCTGTAAGTTTCAAAGTTTCACAGGGGAGATTATTTTAAAATAATTTTGAACACTTACAAATCAGAACTGGAAAGGACTTACTCAAATTAAAATAACAGGTATTTCTGATCATTTAGGGGGAAAAACTGATTCTGCCTTAAGGGATAGAACCTATGATGCCATGCATGGAAGAATGCATGCTGGTTGTCAATTCCACCAAACTACCCACCTTGTAGGCTTAACAGAGAAAATAAAACATTTCCCCTACTTCTTAGCAATTGTTGAATACAAGGATATTCTCTTGGAAATTTTTATTTTCAGAAACATCCTATGCACGACACAATATAAGGACTATAGAAATTTGGGACTTACCAGATTGAGGGTTTTTTACTCATTAATTATTTTCAGTGGACTTTCCTACCATTAGGGAAGAATTTATGTTCTGTGATTCAGGTTTTTATTTCTCCTTTTTATTTTTAAGAACTTTTCAAGATACAAGACCTACTTTGGGGTTCATCTGTAGAACTACTGGACAAAGGGGTGAGTTCTTTAAAGGGAATATGGAACGCTGTTCACTTATTTAGGAATTCAAAACTTTTCCTCCTTACCCTTTGTCACCACAAAATTATTTCTTCCTTTTCCCAAGTAGAAATTGCTTTAACTTATTTTTTATTGGGATGGGCATTGTTTGGAGAGCATTCCCCTAGATCTATCCCTTCTCATTAACCCCTATTGAATTTCTTTGTACCATAGAAGTTTCTGGACCTATCTAACAATGTTCAAATGCCTAGTATCTCAGTTCCTCTCTGACTCATCTTCCTAAGTTCAAATCTGGTCTCAGACTCTCATTAGCTGTGTGACCATGGGCAAGTTACTTAACCCTATTTGCCTTAGTTCCACACCTACAAAATGAACTGGAGAAGAAAATGGCAAACCAGTCCAGTATCTTTCTCAAGAAAACCCCAAAAAGGTTCACAAAGAGTCAGACAAATTGAAAATGACTGAAAAAAAATCTTGTGAAATTCTAGGACGTATATTTTGCCAAGCAAATTTTTTTTTGTTGTTGTTGTTTTTCTTTTTGGTTTTGTTTTTTGTGTGTAGGGAATAGCTTATGGTGAGACAACATTGGTAATAGATTGAAGGCTAGACTGACAATCAGGAAGACATGGGTTAAAATTTCCTCTCTAATACCTACTATCTGTGTGATCATAAGCAAGTAAATCAGTTAACCTTTCTAAACCCCTGTTTCATCATTTATGAAATGGAGATAATAATACCTAAAGTGCCTTTTAGTTTCTGTGATACTCAAATGAGATGATTCAAAGGGCTTTGCAAACTTTAAAATGTGATATCTAGATGTTAGTGATGATTTCTATAATATCAATCATATTCATATTAATATAATAGGTCAGTTGTATGGGATGCTCAGAGTTGAGAGACTTACCTAGGGCTATACAGCCAGTATATATCAGAGGCAGATCTTGAACCCAGCTGTTTTTGACTGAGACTAGCTCTCTGTCCCCTAGATTAAGCTTTTAAGTCAGGGACCAAAGACTATAGTCTTGTACTTGGAATCTGTTCAAGGCCAGGTTCTGTTAGTTACTACTTGTGTGATCCTAGTAACCTTAACCTCACTGAGTCTTAGTTTCCTCATTTGTAAAATTGGGATGGTATTTTTGGGGTAGTTATGAGAAAAACACTCTCTAAATCTTAAAATGTATATGAGTGTGGGCTATTTTCATGCTTGTGAGTAATGTGCCAACAAAGTTCTAAAGCAACTTATTCCATTTGTGAAACTAAGAGTGTGACAAATATTTATCTAGAGCTCAAGACATCTCTGGAATAGGTTTTGGAATTACCCTACCTGCCAGTCCTGGATTTAAGAGTCCAGTCACATTATTAGGCATTCAGATAATATGCCTTGGTGTAAAGATGAATTTGGAACAAGAATGTTTGTCTAGCCTTTGCCTCAAGTCAAGCCAGGTTAGTGGGCCAGTAAGTCTCATGGCTAGTGTGCTTCTGTGAATAATCCTAAACTTTGAACCTTGCAGTATTACAGATGAGGGGAGAAATAGAGGGCTCTTCATTTTGGAGTTAAGTGGAATACTGCTTATTTTCTTATCATTCACTCCCCTCCAGAGCATGTACATTGACACACCACTCGTTTGTGGTTTTCCATGTCCTTCTGTTTATGTATCCATTGGCTCTAGGGCTCAGGATTGACTAAAAATGTATATGTGTTTAAGACCTTATAAAGATGGGAAATTGTCAATATTGGGTCCTTGGCTACAAAGCAATGAGACTGATTGCTACAAACCATAGACGAGAACTAGTCTCACTACTTTATAGTCACACTTGTATATTGCATTAAAACCATGTCTTTCTAAGTGTTGTTGAGGGTACAGGCATATAATAAAACTCAAGACCTAATTAAAATAAAGTAGAGTTTACATTTAAAACCCCTAATAGCTTTAGTTTGGGAGTTGGGGTATAGAAGAAGCAAGATAGATTAAGAATCCAAAAGCCTAAAAAACAATTGTATATGGAGCCCAAATTTTCAACAGAGCTTTCTAGTGATGATGGACATATGTTGAGTTAAAAATGGCCTTCAGCAACCATGGATGTTTCTAAAATAGTTAAATTATTTCCAAAATTTATTATTGAAACTAATAAACCTTAAAGGCTGCGAAGTCAGTCAACAAAAGGAAGACAGCTTCTTCTGAGAGGGGCCCTAGGGACTCTGGTGAAGGTGGAGAAAAACTGGTTTTTTCTAAAGTTTTTGGCATTAAATTCGAAATTGCCTGGTCCTGGTGTAGACATGTGCTATGCAAATTTTCAGTTAAAGTAAAGGGTTTGATCTTTAATCCAACCTTTTCTTCTCATTAAGTTTATAGGCCTAACCACTTAGACTGAGAAGAGTATTTGTCCTAGAGATTAGTAGGATTTGGTTTCTAAGTCAAATAACCTAGAGGCATCACTCACAGCTAAAGTTCTGTTTTACTGTGCCTCTTTTCTGATGAAAAGTTTATATTTTATTTTCTGTTGAGTTATTCAGCAGAAAATCTAACAGGAGAGAATCTGTTTCAGATACAAGACAAAAATAAATCCACAAATCAAGGTATTGGCACCCCCAAATCCCACTATGATTTTAATGTTGACAAAAAAAAAAAACTTGTAAAATTTACAGCAGTTAAGCATATATTTGGGTATCTAAAGAGTAAGGACACTCTACCCAAGGATAATGATTAGTTCACTTTCATTTGTTGATTGATTGATTGGTCTTGACCTGAGATTTCCCTGGTGTAGGAACCTTTCTTTTTCAATGTACCAGGTCAGTGCCTGATCAGCAATTTATTGTCTTAGAAAGTTGCCTTGGAGACTGAGCATCTAAGAGACTTACCCAGTGTTATGCAGAGTTGGGCCTTGAACCCAAGTGTTCTATCTTTAGTTAGTCAACAAGTATTTCTTTAAGTACATACTATATGCTAAACACTACATTAAGCAATGGGGATGAAAAAATAAAAATAAATAAAAAGGGCAAAACCAGCCCTTGTTCTCAAAGAGCTTGCATTTTAAGTCAAGTTGCCTCAGCTTAATTTATCAATGTTAAATCATTTTAAATTGAATGTTTAGTTATCATTAATTATAATTATTCTTTCTAAAATTCATATCTTCTCCAGTCCCCACCCACTTCCTTGGATAGGACCTTGTATACTTCTGTATGTCTTCTCATTGAAGCAAAATGCTAAACCAAATAATTACTAGTTTATTGATTGACCATGACAGAGGACAAAAGAACCAACAAAACCAGTCTCTTACTTAGCCATTGGCCATTTTTACTGAAATAGTTAATAATCCTGAAAGTATTTTCATTCACAATGACAATTACTGAAAATCATTTACCAGCTAGTTAGTTGTTCTTCATGTGATTAAACTTTAAAAATTCTAAAATACAAAGTCCAAATTGCTAATATTATTTACTAGTAATTTAGTCTTCTTTAATTAGCTATACATTAGAAGTATACACTTTCTTTTTAGGGTCCATGCTGGGTAGAAAACATAACAGGAACAATACTATAATGAGTCCCTCTATTTTATCAATGTAGTAGATAATGACTCTAAAATGCTTGTCTTCGGTATATTGTCTCAAAGACTGAGTTAAAATATGCCACAATACTATAACACTTAGTAATTCAGAATACAAATTAGATGTGAATTGTTGATAAGGCTTAAGAGTTTACTTATTCTGTAAGTTACTTATGTTTACTCTTGTGATCATTTGGGGTGAGGAAGTTGTGGAGGAGGTGAGAGAGCAAACTTGTGATTTCACTGGTAGTCCTGATAAGGAAATTACCTCTACCCTTAGAATCATTATCCTTACATTACTTCTAAGATTTAATTCCTTTTATTGCATCTATTAGTAAACAATAATTTTCCCTTTCTTCTTTCAGTTATGTTTGAAAATCAATGAGAAGATAAATATATGTAAAGTGTTTTGAGTTTCTTGGTAGAAAGGCACTATATACATTCAAGTTAATTATCATCGTGTAATTTTATTTTTGTTATATATTATACCCACCAAATGACTGCTTTTAGTAAAACAAAGTTTTATGCTTCTTCTGGAATTTAGCAATCTTAGTTAAAAAGACACATGCTTTGCGTATTATAGTTGAATGTCATCAAAGAAATATTTAGCGTCAAGACTACTTCATAATATATAGGATTTGGAGCTTTGGGGAACCTTGGAGATGATCTAGTCATACTCTTCCTCCTCTTCATTTTATAAAGGAGAAAACTGAAGTCCAGAGAGGTCAAATGTAACTTTCCTGAGATTACACAGCTAGTGCTAAAGCCAAAATATTAAGTATTACAAATTCATTTTTCTTTCATTTTTTTTTAAATCTGGAGATAATGGGTGGTAATTTTAAATTGACAATACCAAGGGGCAAATGGCCCAGAATCATAGATGATATCTGTCATATCTAGCATATCTATCCTTGCTCCTTTCCCCCTCCTCCCAAGCTATTCTTTTAATTGTAATGAAGATGTTTTGCCTTGAGGAATTTTCGCTTTCATCTTTAAAAAAAAGAGAGAGAGAGATACTTTCTTGGGCATAATTTCTTCTACTTTTGAGAAATATAGAGCAAAAAAAAAAGGGATAAGAAAGCACACCCTCCCATCTCTCAACCTGGAAAGGGAGGAAGCTAATATTACCTCCTTTATTCCATTAAAGAAAATCCCACTAAAGATATATATGTACACACACACACACACACACACACACACACACACATGTGTTTATATGTTTATTTTAGAACTCACAAAGGTCTCAAGCACACCATACTATGCAATCAATGCTTCCACTTGGAGTGTTTAAAATCCAAGGTTATACTGTTCTTTTGGTCAGCTTCTTCCAGAGAGACCAATGCTTCTCTATTACTCTAGGGGAAAGTCAGAACACTAGCCCATGACTGGAAGGAGGGATCACTTTGGCAGAGAATCCCAACAACAAAGGGTTTGCAGCAAGGTTCCTTTGGATG